AACACAAGCAGGGGGAGTGGGAGAGGGAGAAGCAGGCTTCCCGCTGAGCAGGGAGCCTGATGCGGGGCTCGATCCCAGGACCCTGGGATCATGACATGAGCTGAAGGCAGACTCTTAATGACTGAGCCACCCAGGCGCCCCTAAAATTAAATATTTTAACATAAGGGTATCTAGCTTTATTTTACATGGTTGCCCTTTTTTTTTTTTCCTTAAGTAAGCTCTATACCCAGTGTGTGGCTTGAACTCATGACCCTGAGATGAAGAGTCAATGCTCTACTGACTGAGCCAGCCAGGCATCCTGGCTGCCTACTCTTTAGCTGACATTTTGCTGATTCAGTTTTACAGTTCGCCTTTGTGGAATTTTAATTTTTTTTAAAAGACGTTTAAATCAGTCATTTTTCCTGATCTGCAAATGAGGCAAAACCAAACAGTGAGTAACAACCACTTTTGTGACTTACAACATATTTTATCTAGATTAAATTAACATTTTAATCAATAGATTATAGATAATTTATATACTTTAGGTCAAAATTCTGATCCTTTGGATAAAACCTAACCATTATTATGGGAAAATGGACATCAAATTAATATCAGAGGGAAAATATGACTTTTTGAATGCAAGATGAATGAGACTACAAAACAGGTTACACTAATCTCAATGAAGTACATACACAATTATATTTAACACAGTAGGTGAAGAACCTTCCTCATTCTACATTAAAATACCTCAAGATGCTAATCTTCCTTATCCTAATGCCCATAGTACTGAATCCTTCAACAAAACTTAATCATCTTCTGTATGGATATTTTTTCTAATTTTTTTGTGCATAAATCTTACTACTCTACCCCAACCCAATCATAAACAGAAAACCAGGAATGATTTACATTTTTCTTTATAGTATGCATGGTAGGTATTCAGTCAACACATGTTGTTGATGGAAGTAGAAACTGATAAAGTGCTGCAACATATTAATACAGACAAATCAGGGTCTTAAATCCTGAGTGCCCTTTTTAGCTGGCTGTGTGGACTTAAGTCACAATTTTGCTAAGTTTCAGTTTGCTCACCTGTAAAATGGGGATAATTATAGCTCTTGCCTCCTAAAGGCAGTGTAAGGCTGATATAAAAGCTTTGAAAATAATTAAACAAGGCTTGTGAGACAGGTCTAGTTTGACCACCATTTCCATTCTACATTTCAGTATTCAGCATAGTGACTTAATGTATTTTCAGGCTGACATTTATGTCTATACTTGTATATATCACATCATTCACAAACAGCTCAACTAAGTCTGAGTCACCCATAAAGATGGGAAAGTGAAACAAAGTCACCTCCAAAGCACTCAAAATCCCAAGTAGGGCCTTACCTGAGGTTGAGTCAGGATTCTGGAGGTAAATTACGAACCACTACAGGGTACAGGGACCCCAAACTTGCTGGTGTAAAAGTCTTCAATTCTGTGACAGAAATGGAGTCCCAGTGCTCTAAATCACATACAAATCACTTGGGAATTTTCTTAAAATGAAGAATATGAAGAATATGATTTATTAGGTCTGGGGTGGATGCAGAGCTTCTGCATTTGTAGAATGTGTTTAGTGCAGTATTTTGATGCTTTTACTCTAAAGACCAATGATGAACGTACTGACACTGTATAAAAGTTCAGGATATATAGAAAACAAGAGCCATGTTTACAAAATTCTTTATTTACATTTTA